TCCGATCTTTATTATGTCCCTCTTTCTACTAACTTTTGGGTTTCATTTGTTCTTTTTCTAGTTTCTTTAATTGTGACTTTAGACTGTTAATTTGAGATTGTTTTTGTTTCTTGAGGTAAGCCTGTATTGCTATATACTTTGCTCTTAGAACTGCCTTTGCTGCATCCCACAGATTTTGGGCTGTTGTGTTTTTGTTTTCATTTGTCTCCATGTAGTGCTTGATTTCTGCTTTAATTTGTTCATTGATCCATTAATTATTTAGAAGCATGTTGTTTAGCCTCCATGTGTTTGTAAGTCTTTGTTTTCTTTGCATATTTTATTTCTAGTGTCATACTGTGTGGTCTGAGAAGCTGCTTGATATAATTTCAATCTTTCTGAATTTATTGGTGCTTTTCTTTGGCATAGTAGGTGATCTATTATTCTGGAGAACATTCCGTATACACTTGAGAAAATGTATATCCTTCTGCTTTTGGTTGGAGTGTTCTACAGACATCTGTTAAGTCCATTTGACCTAATGTATTGTTCAGTGCCTCTGTTTCCTTACTTACTTTCTGTCTGGTTGATCTGTCGGTGTGAGTTGTGCGTTAAAGTCTCCTAAAATGAATGTGTTGGAGTCTATTTCCTGTTTTAATTCTGTTACTTTGTTTTACATATTTAGGTGCTCCTATATTGGGCTCATAGATTTTTATAATTGTGATATCCTCTTGTTGGACTGACCCCTTTATCATTACGTAATGTCTTTCTTTGTCTCTTGTTATTTTGTTTTGAAATCTATTTTGTTTGATATAAGTACTGCTGCTCCTGCTTTTTTCTCCTTGTTATTTGCATGAAAGATATTTTTCCATCCTTTTACTTTTAGTCTGTGTATGTGTTTGGGTCAGAAATGAGTCTCTTGTAGGTAGCTTATAGATGGGTCTTTATTTTTTTATCCATTATGCCACTCTGTGTCTTTTGATTGGTGCATCCAGTCCATTTACATTTAAGGTGATTATTAATAGATATGTACTTATTGCCATTTTATTGTTTTCTGGCTGTTTTTCATATCTCCTCTCTGTTCCTTTCCTTCTTCCTTATACTCTTGTTGTTGGTGGTTTTCTTTAGTGTTGAAATTGGATTTCTCTTTTTCTAATATATTTATTTTTGTGTGTGTGTATTTGTTGTAGGCTTTAGTTTTGTGGTTACCACAAGTTCAAGGATAGCTTCTTTACTATACAATACAATAATCTATCTCAAATTTCTGATTACTCTATTTCAAACACAATCTTTTTTTTTCTTCTTCCTCCTCCTCCTCCACATTTTTCATATGGGGTGTCATAATCTGCACTTTTTGTGTATCCCTTGACTAATTTTCTATATAGTTGTTATTGCTTCTTTTGTTTTGTTTTAATTTTGTACTTACTTGGTAATTAATTGGTCTGCTACCTTTGCTGTGGTTTGTTTTCACTGGTGGTTTAGCCTTAGGGTCATTTCCATCTATAGCAGTTCCTGTAACGTATCTTGTAAGACTGGCTTAGTGGTGGTGAATTCTTCCAACTGTTGTTTATCTGTAAATTGTTTAATACCTGCTTCAAATTTAAATGATAATCTTGCCAGGTAGAGGATTCTTTGTTGGAGGTCCTTCTGTTTCAGTACATTAAATACATCATGCCACTCCTTCTGGCCTGTAGAGTTTCTGTTAAGAAGTCAGCTGGTAGCCTGATGGGAATTCCTTTATAAGTAATCTTTTTTTCTCTTTCTGGCTGCTTTCAACACATTCTCCTTGTCTTTGATCTTTGCCATTTTAATTATTATATGTCTTGATGTTGTCTTCCTTGGGTTCCTTTTGTTAGGAGATCTCTATGCTTCCATGACCTGAGTGTCTTTTTCTTTCCCCATATTGGGGAAGTTTTCAACAGTTATTTCCTTAAAGAGGCTTTCCATCCCTTTTTCTCTCTTCTTCTATTACCCCTATTATGTGACTATTGTTTTACTTGGATTGGTCACATAGCTCTCATCATTCTTTCATTCCTAGAGATCCTTTTTTTCTCTTTGTTCCTCAGCTTCTTTGTTTTCCTGTTCTCTAATTTCTGTTTCATTTCTGTCTCCTTTACATGATCTAATCTACTTTTAAATCCCTCCATTGTATTTTTCATTTCAGATGCTGTATTCTTCAGCTCTGAGTGGCTCTTTCTCAGGTTTCCTATCTCTGTTGAAGTCTTGCCTGAGATCTTGAATACTTTTCTGTAAATCCGTGAGCATATTTGACTTTTATTTGGAAATCTTTGTCAACAAGATTGGTGATCTCTCTTGCATTTAGCCCTCTTTCTGGGGTTCTGTCTTGTAGTTTTGTTTGGATCAAATTCTTCTGCCTGCTCATTTTGTCAGGAATTCTGTGTTTCTTCCTTTGTATTAGATGTCTCTGCTGTGCTTTCTGGTCCTTTCCTGTGTGGTCCTCTCTTGTTCCTCAGGTGTAGGGGGGTCTGTTCTACAGTCCTCAGGTGTTTTCAGGTCTAGTTGCATTTGCTGTATTTTCCTCTTATGTGTTTTTAGGAGGAGGTTTCCATCTTGCCTTCCTGTGCCACCATCTTTAATCCATTAATCCCCTTAAACAACTTTATTGAGATATAATTTACATACCATAAAATTTAGCCATTGTAAGTGGATGATTTTGGTAAACTTCCATAATTGTGCAACCATTACCACAATCCTATTTTAGAAAATTTTCATCACCCAAAATTTGCAAATTTATCCTCACTCTCACCTTCAGGCCTAGGCAATAAACTATCAGCTTTCTGTCTCTACAAATTTGCCATTTCTAGACATTGTATATAAATGGAATCATACACTGTAGTCTTTTGAATCTGCTTCTTTCATTTTCCTTAGTGCTTTTGAGGTTCATCCATGTTGGTGCATTTATCAGTTCATTCCTTCAAATTGCTGAGTCTTACTCCATTGTACAGATATGCCACGTGTTTATCTAGTTACCTGGTTATTGGTCATTTGTATTGTTTCCTGTATTGGCTGTTATGAATAATGCTATAAACGTTATCAGACATAGCTTGCGTGGATGTGTTTTCATTTCTTTTGGGTAGGTTCTTAGGAGTGCAATTTCCAGATCATATGGTAAGTTTGTGTTAACTTAAGACAGTGCCAAGTTGTTTTCCTAAATGTCTGTACTATTTTACATTCCCAGTAGCAACCCATGAGCTCCATTTTTCTCCACATTGTAACCAATGCTTGGTATTGTCTGACTTTTTGATTATAGCTATTCTAACAGATATGCAGCAGTAGCTCATTGTTTTTTTAATTTGCATTTCCCTAATTACTAATGGTGTTCAGCATTTTTTCATGTGCGTAATTAACCATTCCTATATCATTTCCAGTGAAATATCTATTCAAATCTTTTGCCCATTTTGGGGGTCCATTTTAAACATTGGATTGTTTGTAAGCATTCTTTATATTGTATATAAAAGTCCTTTACCATGTATGAGTTGCAAAAATTTTTTTCTGATCTGTAGCTTGCAGTAGATTTTATTTTTTAGGATAGTTTTGGGTTCAGAGCAAAACAGCAGATAGTATGTCCCCTGTCCCCACACATGCACAGCTTCCCCCACTGTCGACATCCCCCACCAGATTGATAGGCTTATTACAATTGATGAAGCTACATTAGCACATAATTATCACCCAAAATGTGGCTTATCTTTTCATTTTCTTAGTGATGTTTTCTGAAGTGGGAAAGTTCTTAATTTTGATGATATTTTACCAATTTTTTCTTTTATGGGTTGTGCTTTTGATGTATCTGAGAACTCTATGCCACCAAAGTTCATTATTTTCTCCTGTTTTCTTCCTTGAAACTTTTAAAAGATTAAAGCAATAAATTGGTTCTTTCCTTTGTTAATCTTTTCTGAGTTTAAAAAGAATACGTTAAAAAAAAGTAGGTGAATGGTGCTACATAACAGTAGCAGACACTTCAAAATAATGTTTTTCCTTTGACCTTAGATGATAATTTTCTACTGTGAATTAACCTTAAACTTAATTTTAGGGATTTCAGCTCCTTCTTTTCATTGTAATACTTGCATTTTGGGGTATGTAGCTCTGGGAGGAAGAGGGTTCATGGTCTGGGACAAGTTCCTCATGAATCTGGTGAAAATGAAGTAAGGCAAGGGGAAAGGCAGGTTGGGTTAAAGGGGTTTCTTTCTTACAGCTTGCTCGGGTTTGCTGGCCAGGCCTGAAACTGTCCATCCCCTCCAGCCACGGTGCCTGCTCCCTTTCCCTGCCTGCCCCTTCCAGGAGGAACTCGATGGGCGGGTCCCTAGTGACTGGCAAACACCAGACTGATTACATACCAGGAGCAGAGGGAAGGAGGAAATGGCCGTTTTCTCTCTGTCCCTTGCTCTGGGTGGACGGGAGGCTGTGCCATGGTAAACATCCATTGGGATGTAATGGATTAAGGCCAGGTGGGAAATTCTGGAATTTCTGGGTGAAAACTGCCATTTACCCTACGGGGTGTATCTGTTAAGTTTGAAAATAATTTTCACATCTGTTTTTTGTTTATCTTCATTGTTTAGTTAGATTTTCTGTAAGATGTTAGGAAAAAGGCAGTCCATATTCATACTAATGCGAGCCTGGCTAATGGCTCTTAACCCTCTCAGAGGGGGATATACATTTTAAAAGGATTCATAAGCTAATTCTCTTAACTGGTAGAACTTCACCTGAACAAAATTTGTTGTAATGTGGGGAAAATAACTGAGGTTAGGCTTATTAATATATAGACATGCTGTTTCTGCTTGAGCCCTATTTCCAGGATTGGGTCTTTTGAGGGGTCCTGCTTTTTTCTGGAAGTTCAGGTTCTCTAAACAACTCCTCGTAACTTGTTAAATCTGTTAAATCATAGGATAAGGAAGCAGAGGCTCAAGTTTAATAGTCTGCCTAATAAATTCAACCTTTTCTGATAAAGGTCAATGCAGGTTCTTACTTAAAACTGTTTTAGGTTGCATTAACAAATATGTAGTCACACATATTCAAGACACTCTTGTATCCACAGGTTGCTCTGCTGTGCTCCATCTCCTTCTCCTAAAGATGCATCCTGACTTATCTCCACACTTGCACACTGAAGAATGCAACGTCTTGATTAACTTGCTTAAGGAATGTCACAAAAATGTAAGAGTTCAGAAAAATGACCATAAAGCAACAACAACCCTTAGCACCACACACTGATGTAAAGTGTTCTCTCCATTAATGGAAGGGAATAGTAGTATCTCAGTAATGGGTCTAAGCTAATCTTGCACGTGATGCTTGTGATTTTTCAGAAACCATCTCCTTTCATGATTAGTAAAAATCGAGAATGATCATTTGTTAGGGAACTTCTGAAATAATATATAAAGGTTAGAATCCATGTTCTTAAATAAAATACTTTCCCTTTTCTAACTATGGGGTTGCTAGAACAAAATTATGTTCTGCTCTGACTCTTCCAATCATAATGGAATTATTCTAAGAATTTTCTCTTTCTTGCTGTTTGCAATTCTGTGTTTAAAGGAAATTGAAACATTTTTATAATTAGATATTAAATAGATTTAAATTATGATGGGCCTAATTTGACAGGTTTATTTAATACTGTGGAATGGAAATAAATTCCATGGTTAAAATCAAAATAGAAAAGAAACCCATTTTGGGAATTTATTAAATTAAGCTGATATTTTTACAGATATCAAATATTTACCTTTTTTATATATTTGATTCATGATACAGTTATAAGGAGTATTTGTTTTTAACTTTGCATGATATATTACTTTCTTCATAATATTCATAAACTATAGATATATCAAATTACAGTAATAGTAAACATCATTTAAATGAGTAAAATTTTAAGACTTAAAGTAAGGTAGTAATAACCATGGCCTGTGAAGTCAGGTATTGATGACAATATACTTTAGGCAAACTGTTTTTACCGTACATGTAGATCAAGAATTAATGTAAGTCTTTTTAACTTTAGCCATTTTATGAGTGTGTAGCAGTGTCTTATTTGATTTTGAATTATATTTCCCTGATGGTGAGTGATTTTGAGCATCTTTTCATGTACTTCTTGGCCATTCACATAAAGTTTTTTGCCTGTATTTAAAAGTTGGGTTGTTTGTCTTACTCGTTATAAGGATTCTTTTTATTATTTGGCATAACAAGTCTTTTTCTGATAAGTGTATTGTGAATGTTTTCTCCTAGTCTGTGGCATCCTTCTTCATTTTCCTAAGGATGTGTTTCAAAGAGCAGTTTGTAGGTTTGATGAAGTCTAATATACCAGTTTTACCAGTTTTTTCTTTTACTGTTTGTGTTTTTCATGGTCTAAGGGTCTTTGTGTATTTCTTGGTTGCAAAGATTTTCTCCTGTTTTTTCTTCTGAAGTTTTCTAGCATTTAGGCCTGTGATTCATTTCATTGAATTTTTGTGTATGGTGTGAGGTGTGAGTCAAGGTTTCTTACTTTGCCTCTGGATACTCGGTTATGCCAACACCATTTGTTCAAGAGGCTATCCTTTCCCCACTAAGTGACCTGGATGCCTTTGTCACAGTTGGACCAGGTGTGATGGGTTCTAATTCTGGACTCTCTACTCTGTCCTACCGATTTATATGTCTGTTCTCAATTTTCCAGTTAATTCCAGTGTTATCTTACCGGGGCCAACCTAGTCCCATGACCAGTTTGTCTTCCTCTCTGTCCTTATTTACTTCCCATATTGCATCTAGAGTGATCTCTAAACATAAGTTTAATAGTTGTTCCCTTTTAATGGCTCCTTTTGTCTAGAGAATAAAATAGACATTTTTTACTTTGTGTTTCAAGGCCGTCATGTCTTCTTCTTACCTCTGGGGCTTACCACTCTCCTTCAGCTCCGTCCTCCTCCCGCCTGTTCCTGCATGTTCTTTTCTTCAGTTGTACTGGAGCATTTTTCTCCCTTCTAATCCTTTGTACTTGCTGGTTCCTTTGCTTAACTTAGAACCTTCTTCGCTGTCTCCACTTCGAGCTGCTAGCCCAGGTTTTACCCTGCAGGTTTTATTCAGCCTAATATGTCATGTCATCTTCCTTTTCTCCTTTCCTGACCTGGATTCTCTTGGTATAGTCACTCTGTACTCCAATAATATCATACATAAAACATTTCCTACCTTATGGC